CCCCCCCCCCCCCCCCCCGTGTTGCAACACATACACGACATGAGTTTTGCTTTCAAGAATTTGGGGAGCAGTTGCCCCCAAACCCATGAACCAATGTTCTTGAAACTTGGCAAGCTTTGTGTTCTCCGCAGCATCTACCATCCCACACATTTCATCCAAATCAGGCAGAAAACAACAAAGTTATAGATATTTTATTGTTTCCCCATTATATCCTATGGCCGGATCTCCGAGGTGGCTCGAAGGAGGCTCCGAACGAGACAGCGCCTCAACCTGGACGTGCTGCTTTGGACCCCGAAGTGTCCAAAGCTTCTCCAGCTCTGAAGCTCTGTCCGAAGCCTCGCACAGCCCTACTTTTCATGATAGCTGTATGCAATAGGTAGCTATTACTGTGGTTCCCTACCAGGTGGCAAGGGAATTAGGTAACAACCTGTTTGACTGAAGAAAATAAACTGCAGATATGACACCTACTCCAATATGCCTTACACTGGTGTTATTTTACCCATGATTTTTCCCATAATAATTCTACTCAGGCTTCAATTTAGTGATATAGGATGGTATATTTTGTCTGCTACTCTTCTCTTCCCTACCCTATCACTTGTATAAAGGGAATAACACTGCCATAAACTCAATGTCCCAGGAAGCCCCATCCAGGGCTATGTTTCTGTGATCAATATACTTTAGTGGAACATTGCTCTAGTGGATAGCTAATAAAAGTTGTAATATCTTCTTAATTCAACTTTGGTTACAACTGAAAAGAATGGGACACACCCAATGAAGTGACAATGAACAATTATCCATATCTTAGACCAACCACTGAGGTCACAAGTTGTATTAAGACTATATGTGAGCATTTGCTTTTATAAGGCTCTCAGGACTTGGACCTACTGGCATATTGCTATCTGTTATATTATTTAAATGAACCAGACTACACAGTGAAGTGAAAGACTGAGATTTCAAAGAAAATACAGAAACACACCAAAGAAAATATGCAATGTCAAAATTTTATTGGTGTTGAGGTAGCCTGCCTTATTGTGAAACAGTCAGCTGAGATATTTGCACAGTTTGCCTAGGGAGAATGTTCATTTATATGGAGATTTTACAATATAAGAGCGAAGGGACAGCAAGCAATATTAACTACACATTACAATATATCATTACACAATGGCAGCAGTAAGTGATAATTATGACATGAAGCAGTCCACAGAATTGCAAAGTACCTGAAAAGCTTGACTGCATGATTACTGTGATACATGAGTAGACCATGAAAATTCATGAAAGGAGGTGGCTAGAGAAAAAAGAAAAAGAAAAGAAGTGTAGTTTTATGGAGAGATCTTCCTGGCAAATAAAAAGTAATGGTATCAGTAGGGAATGGGGAACTGTTATTAAATGAAATGGGTGCTGATATTAAGCTCTATTAGTGTATGTATAATGGGATCAAATCTGTCAATACTGCCCTCTTATGCCACTTACTGCTTGTGATTTTCTCCATTAGAGCTGTGTCAGACAGTTCTTTTAACCAGTTTGAATAGCTGGGTGCTGCTGTGTCTCTTCAGTATTTAAGGAAGATTCTTTTTGACTGTTTAGGGCCATCAGTAACCAGTAGAGTACAGGTCCAGTCATAGACGGGTCTTCAAAGAGACTAAAGATGCACGTTCTATATGAAGGGAGACAAACACATTTTTAATAAAGAATCTGGATTTCTACAAGTTAAACCCCAGAGTTTCTCACTGTTCCACAATGTATTGGAGAAGATGAGTAAAAAATAACAAAAGACAGAAAATGTTTAGCTTTCCATGTGTTTTCGTGCAAGAGAAATGGTGCACTTAGTACGGATCCTGTCAATTTAGTAAAATTAGCACCCAAAGTGTCTAAGCAGTAGAACAAAAGGATGCAATTATAGTTGGCTGCAGGACAAGAATACACAATTGTTTTTCAATTTTTCTTTGTGTTAAGAAAGCAGCTGCAATTTTTTTTTTGCTGCCAGTGCATTTTGTTGTGCAGAAGCTGAAATGAGTTGTGTTAAATGAGCCATTACAAGGCTTTTATATATATATATATATAACTAAAGTTGAGGATGTGGGTAAATGTCATAGGCCAGAAAGAACACAACAAAAGCTGATGACAAATCTGCATGCACATGCATTTCTTGTGCAAAGCCCCCCTGTGTGCAAGGAGTTTTGCACACAGGTTTGTCATAATACTTCATTTGTACTTGCAAACGCAGATATTTGTACATAAAAACAATTGTAATGACCAACTTCTGCAGGCACAACTGCCAGGCCCCAATTGTAAATTTAGCTGTAGCTTTTGGTAAACAGTAACTAGTATGCAGCTGCACTGAAGCTAATTATGAAATATTCAAGGGGAAGAATATAAGAAATCAGCAAATGTCCAAGACTTGCAGTTGGATTACAGCACCAAAAGTTGTGCTGTACACTCACTCAAACTACAACTTTAGAAACTGACACAGAAATCTCCCCAAAATTGCAGCCATTACTCACTGCACCTAAACTAAGACTGGCACAAAAAATAGACTTTCCTGCTATTTCATATATATTGCTGATCTTTGCAAAAATGAGGAAATTCTGGGATCAAACCAAAGTGGAAGGAAAAAGTGGCTTAGCCAAAGTTTTTCAAATCTCATAAGGTCATCCCTTCCCTAGTAAGTGTTATCCTGCACTGAACTTGAAAGACAGTGGAAGGATAACTACTAGGTGAAAATCTCAGGGAATGCTTTAAAAGTTTAGACGTAGCCAAGGGCTTTTGTGTATTGGTTCTCAGAAGGATCTGCAAGAAATGGGACCTTCAGTCACTTGTGGACAAGACCAGTTTTTCAAACATAGTTAAAGAAGATGCCTGTGTGCTGAATGTACAAAATGCCATAACCACCCAAACAAATCAGGTAAGAAACTGTTTACCAGAGAGACAGTATGTAGCTTGCAAGAGCAGATTTAGGACTTTTATCTGCAACAGTTGCAAGTACTTTCTTTTTTTGTTGTTGCCACTTACTATTTAAAAATGCATACATTTTTAAAGGGGTCATAGAATCACAGAAATGTAGGGCCAGAAGGTCCCTAGTCCAACCCCCTGCCTGAGGCAAGATCATTTCCACCCAAACTATCCCATCTAAATCCTTGACTAAACTGTTACCAAAACTACACAAATCAACCCTATCATACAACCATAAGGCATAGTGCCCTAACCTGCCACAGATAAAGTGGTGGCTAATGTCCTGCTGCTGCAAGTGCTGTTAAACTACTCTGTGAGTCTAGCAGAAGAAAACAAAGCCTAGATATACTGGCCTCCATGCAGTTTTGAAGACAGAACAATTAGTGAAATACTCATGACATACAATTGACAAGGAACTGTTTACCCAATATACCAGAATAACTGAACCCTCAAAGCTAAATATGCAGCTCATTTTTAAGACTTCTGCCCTCTTGCCTCATTGACCACTATATACCATAGTGCTGATCAATTATAGCAATGTTTGATGTAACAGTAAAATCAAAGTTTTAAGACACATTCCTCTAAAAAAAAAAACACCAGAAAAGGGAAGATGCAATCTCATTGGAAATCACATTCATAGAAAAAATCATTTCTAGAAACTTTTTAATAGTTGAAAATGAAAGCTCTGCAGCTAACATGGTATCTAAGACATTGCTCCGCAACAAATCAGTGGCCTGTAGCAACTATTCTGAGCAGGTAGTGCTGTCAACAGTTATTTCCCTGACAACCTGAAGCAAAGTGAATCGGTGGAAAGCAAAGTTTCCTAGAATGATAAGCAACATCAGACAGGATGGTGGGGGCAATACATTGCCTGCAAGGCAAGGACTGGACAATTGCCCAAGCAAAGTCCAGAAATGGCCTTGGGCACCATTGCGCAGTGTAAGACATATAACATAGTTTGAGATGTATTTGTGCAGTATCAGCTATAACTAACCCTCAAATTATATAAAGTTACTTATTTTATTGAATGTAGGGATACACACTGACTTTGTAAAAATCAATTCAGGGCAGGTAGTATATGATCTGATTTACAACAATATGCCTTTTCTGTACCTAGAGAGATCTTGGCAAAACTCAGTGCTGAGCAGTGATATTTTTCTGTAAAAATCTTTGCTGGAGCTGGTAAAAAGCCCAGATGCCACAGAAAAAAGCAAAGACACTTAAGTATTTGTTATTAAAGCAATTATTTCCTCTTCCATGTGTTTCCCCAAGCTGCTAGTCACCTGAAACCTCTTGAAAAAACAGCAGAGATTCTTAGATTTAAAGCCAGTAGGAACCAGTATGATCCAGTCTGGCCTCCTGCATAGCTCAAGCCATGAGTGAACTATTCTTCTCCACTGGGCATGTCTACACATGCACTTAACTACAGAGTAGACTAATCAGGTGCAGAGAAAATCATCACAATCTACATGTGTGACACTATAAGGCTGCAGTAAACTAATTAACAGCACCATAAGATAGTACCATCTCTGACAGTGCTATCTTATGCTGGGGTAATTAACTGCAATTAAACACATGTAAACACTGACCTTGGCTGTAAATTGTACCCAGTCAGCAGGAGGCCAGATTCCTGCCTGCTGCTTAGCCACATAACTCCACACTTTCAGCACCCTCATGCCCCAGCCAGCCCCAATGCAACCATCCAGAGCCTGGGGCTCATGCCAGGACTGGGGGACCGGGGATGATAAGATGCTCCACCCCAGCTCAGATGGCTACTGTCCTGGGCACATGTATAGATGCTGCACCCAGGAGTAGTTTACTCTGGCTTAAACTGCTCCAGAGCTTATTGCTTTAAATTAATTGTACACGTGACTGAATACTATCAAGCCCAATACTTTGCAATGGAATTGCAACACCTCTTCCATTGATTCTCAGTGTAATGATGAATTATATTACTCCCACTGGTAAAATGTGACATGGTTAATTACTCCTAGCTATACCTGTAGATCAACAAACAATAAATTCATTACTGAGTAGTTAATAGGTCTCATAACTTCTCTGCTTTCTTCCTTCCTACAAAGTCTGGAAGAACCTCAAACTGTGGAGATATTTAAACAAGGTTTTGCATTCAATCACTGTTAAATACAGTATTTGATATCTACATTAATGAACTATATCTGGACTACTCTCTCAGTTAATGTGCGCAGGCTCCCAGCCAATACATTAAGGTATTTCACTTGTTTAAATGCAAGCTGGCTGTTTTCAGCTGCATCCTCTCTTTTGAATCTGAGATATGCAGTGGCTCAAGCTTATTGATCACATGGGGCAGAATACGAGGAGAAAACAGAAGAGTTCAGAGGTTTCATCTTGTCACATTTCATATTATGATTAACACAACATGAATTTCCCAATCCTCTGTGAACAACTGTTCATTCTGAGTCCCATCCAGCTCTGGTTGCAGTCCTTGATGTCAGCATAACTAGGTTTGAACTTTCTATGCATTGCATGACAATGACCACATTTACCACTGCAGTACCTGGGCAACAGTTCATTGAAATCAATTAAGTTACAGCAGTGGGAACAAGGGAACTCCATCCCAGTGCCTTCAAAATTAATTCAGACTCTGACTGACAGGCATCTTTTTAGAGTTCTAAATAGAAGTGCTTGCAGACACAACTTAGTTTAAATGTCCTATACATTCCCATGAAAAGTTAAAATCATGAAGGTCAATGAGAAAGGCTGCCAGATCCAAATTGCCTACTCTCAACTGCCTCCTAATTTTTATACTATTATGTACTTGATTTAAAAAGTTCCTGCAAAGAATGGCAAGTACTGGACATAAAGAGAGATTCAGTGACAAAATCTGTAATGAAATATATGTTCAGAGCTCAGGAGGCAAACTTATGCATACAAATAGGAGCTCACAAAAGCAAGCATGTTTCTCTCTTGTAATCTCTAGTTGTGTCCTCTGGAGATTTACACCGGAGTTTCAGTAGCAGTAGGTGGGAGATTTTTTGTTCGCTGTTTTTAATTATTATTAGGTACGAGGTTGCATACAACTGTAAATAGAATTTGAAGCGAGAAATCCACTCCTGCCTATTAAAAATGGGGCAAATCAGTTTGAAACAAGGAGATGGTTTCCTGTCAATGGTTCAGAGACTAAAAGTAGATGGGAATTTCTAGCTGTTATCTAAATCTGGAACTCAGTCTAGCCAAAATAAATTTCCATCCCACAGGGTTTCAAGAATATTCACCATCAGAGAGCAGGAAAGGAAAAAAATCTGTAGACAGCTCTGTCCCAAGGGTGAATCACAGCACTATTCAGCTGAGTTGCTGTATAGGAAATTAAGTTCTTGAAACAAAGTCAGGGTCCCCAATGAAAAAGGTAGCTCCCAGGTGACAAACACACCGGAGCTATGATTTTCCAAGTCAAAAAAGACAAATACCCCCTTTCCTATGAATAATCACCATCTTCGGCATACTGAGGACAGGACCCTCCCCTGTGTTTCTACAAGAAGCTGAGACCATAATGATCTTGAACCCAGAATAATTTCAAAACAATCTTAGTGGTATCTCCACTCCTGCAGAAGGAAGATGACCCAGTGGGCCGCAGCTCAGAAAGCATGGCTATTGAGACCAAGGGCTGGTGAGTTAAAAGAGTCCTTTCCTCCTATCGCTCCTCCTTCCCTCCCCAGGAGATTCTTA